AATAGAGTTTTGTTTTCGTCACACATTTACACATCCACTATGACTATGAGTGAATGAGTACGAGGAGAGAGAGAGAGAGAGAGAGAGGTTGTGTGTGTTGTGTGTGTTGTGTGGGTTGAATGGCTAACAATCAAAGTAATAATAGTTTGGTGGCTATAAAGGGTATCTGCAGTGCCATCACAGCCATCAGTGTCATCACCAATAACTCATTGGACCGAAAAACAGATAAATTTGGCCAACAGTTCAAAGCAACACGTCTTCATTTACCACTCTTTTGGATATGTTTTCTTAAAATAGAGTTTTGTTTTCGTCACACATTTACACATCCANCATCAGTGTCATCACCAATAACTCATTGGACCGAAAAACAGATAAATTTGGCCAACAGTTCAAAGCAACACGTCTTCATTTACCACTCTTTTGGATATGTTTTCTTAAAATAGAGTTTTGTTTTCGTCACACATTTACACATCCACTATGACTATGAGTGAATGAGTACGAGGAGAGAGAGAGAGCGAGAGAAAGAGAGAGAGAGAGAGAGCGAGAGAGAGAGAGAGAGAGAGAGCGAGAGAGCAGAGACCACAGTAGTTATTGGTATATATGGGAAGAATACCAGAATCAGAAAGAATCACGCAATGAATTTGATACAACAAATCACAGCTATTATTAGATAATAATTAAACATTTGCACATTTTCCGTTCATTTGCCACAATTCAATACGAATGGCACATAACATAAGTCACACTCTAATGCCATTAACAGACATATTGTATAAATTTAATAAGTTTTTCACTCGAATGCAAACATTAATTACAACAAGAATTCCAAAAATAGTACTCAAAATGAGAATTGATTTTTTGTTTCACTCAATGAAAGTCTGTTGTCAACAAAAAAAAGTTACTATAGTTCGTAAAGAGAGGGTAGAAATCAGGAGTAATTTTTTCATTTAATGTATTAGATCGTAATTTTGTATTGAGTAACTATAAAATTATCTAGCCAAATGCTTGTCTAACTAATTTGTCAAATTTTTATAGTTTTATACAAATGTCTAAATATCGTGTGTTTAAACAGTAAAATAGTATGTTTTAATTTGAGTAATTATGTTTAAAAACGGAAAACTAATTAAGAAAGTAATTAGAAAATTTTATGTTATATGGTAATAAGAATTAATACTGAAACTCGCTCGACATAAAAGTAATAACAGTTATAATATTATTATATAATAAAAATAATGCACACACTATTGTAATAAATGGCAATTGTCTTAAGATCTAAAACAACACATTAATTGCCTTTAATTACAAATGAATGAATGATAAAGAAATTAGTAAGAAATTGATTTCATATTAGATATTAGACCAGAATTGTGAACAAAATGATAATAAAGTATTCAAAACCTTAATCTGGAAATTCTTTAGCTTAATTAATTAACAAAGTATTTAAATCTTATTTCATTTAAATAATACAAGTCACACGACGTATTGGGTTTCAAATTCATTGAATTGTTTAGATAAACACCACTAAAGAGTCTTTAAGTTTTATCTTAAAAGGTATTAAATGTCATCTTAGGCTCAATCGACACGCAATGCCTCTTAAGAGGTATTATTTATTTAAAATAAAGATTTGCAAGGCATTGAATCATTCAATTAATTGCAAACTAAAAGCTATTTCAATAAATATCAATATTATTGATATTCTCTAAAAACTAAAAGCTCACTTTTCGATAAGAATAGCAATCGTTTATATTTTATTTATACATAATTATCTCATTTATGACAAAAGCACTTGACAATTATGTTATAATCGGTATCAAAATAAAAAGTCACACTGATACTTGATGTAGTCTCATGTAGAGGACATGGAAAAAGTTGAACAATTGAAATAACTTCTGAGAATTTCTGAAATACTCGATCACAAGAATAATAGTGACAATAATATGAAATTCTTGTATAAAAACACAAGATTTATGATGATTTCGGTGCTCACGTATTGCGGCCTTAGATTGGAAATTATTAAAAAGATATCTCCTGTGAGTTCAGAGCAAACTATTCTTAATTTAGGATCAACTAAACTTTTGTTTTCTCAAACACAGTATAATTATTATATATACGGTATATAGCAATATATTGAGCAATATTTTGCAAATGCCATCGACCACCCCATCAATAGCACTCACTATACGGTCAAATAAAGCACATATTATTTAGTAGTGTTTGTGCTTTATTTTTAGCAGTAGCTATAGGTCTAGAATTGAAAATTCGTAAAATCGAGAGAATTGATGATAATTTAATTTTAAAAATGTACAAATGGGACACAAAATATTCTGTACGCTTAGTAGTCGTACTAAATATAAACACGTTTTATGAAAATTAGGAAATCAGTCTATTTTGTATTCAATGAACTTGTAAAGTAGGACTAATCATGTTATACATGCTAACATTATTAAGTGTTTTAATAAATTTTTAACATAAAACTAAAGGTTTAGGGCGAAGGAATTTTGAATTTATTAAAAACACAATTTATGACTACATGTCAGATAAGCAAACAATTAAATATTGATAATCAATTTTATATTTATAGATCGAGAGATATAAATGGTTTATTTAAAAGTTAATTAAATTACTAACACTACAAATAATTTGAATGGACGACAATTTGCTTTAATAATACGCTTCCCTTAAAAGGAAGTTATCAATGATTTTACACTTCAAACAATTGTTTTGTAAAAATAAGTTAATTCATAAAACCATTTTTTGTTAATTAAAATTATTTGAATGACAGGAAAGTGTACTGCAATATAAACACACAAAAATTGATGTCATAACAAATATGGAAATAATATATTCATAATTGTGTATTACTGTGTGTTTGAGTGAAATTTAAAATATTTATAAATTATATAATAAAAACTAAATTTAAATATTATAGAAAAAGCGTGCATTTAATGTAAAGTCTACTCACACTTGTTGTCTGTAGTGTCGGCCAAAATCGTATGGGGTTTGTGTAGTAGACCTCAAACTTTTCGATACTCTATCAATATTTATGCTCTTTTATTATTGTGGATATTAATAAATACTTCCTTAATATTTAAAGCAAAACAATTAAATTGTGATTTAAATTGAATTTCCTCGGCGTTTTAATAGTCGTGGGTCTCATAGAACTAAGAATGATATGATCTATAGTACACTGAAAGGTAAAAAGTATTGCTTTAGTCTAACCTCCCATTGGCTTACCTGCACTCCCACACAGACCTAAGCCTAACGCACAGACAATGCATTCATTTTTCGATATCGAAAACTTAGTTGAAGTTTGACTACAATCTGGTGTGAACTACAGCTATGATTCAATTGTGTAATTCTCGTGTCTGACGTCAAAATCGATAAATAAGACTCAAGTCTTCATTATAGATGTGGTTAATGTCTATTAAAAGTGAACTGATTTTAGTTTTTAATGCTAATTCTAGAGTAAGTTTGAATTTCTTAATTGATTTTTTCGTTTTAAATTAAAGCAATGATAAGTTGAATAAAGGTTTACCCAAACACTCGTAAATCATTGTGTACTATAAATATAGTCTATACGGTATTCTATGTCTTATCTCATTTGCACTTTATTTTCTCAGTTTAATATAATTTCCTGTTTATTATTGGTAAACAATATTTAAACAGAAAGTTCCTAAAAAAGTAATTCAAATATATTTATTGGCAATTATAGTAATAATAATAACATTTTAGTGCATTTCAATGAGTGTTTAATTAGTAAGCACAATTTGTTTTGCCAATAATCTAATCAAACAATAACTTTTCATTCAATTACACATTTCATTGAAATATCAAAAGCGATTGAAAATAATAAACATGTTTGTGTTTATTTTTCTTAAAACTTTTCACATTTTAAGTATAATTATTAGGAAATCAGAGATAAGGGGTTATTTTGAGTGCATTTAAAGTGCATAAGTATTTTATTATTCAAATTAATTGTAACTATTGTGCCCAATACATCAAGTGATCGTTAATTAATCTAGGCTATTATGCTCTATAAATACTATTATTATGATCAAGTGTATCTATCTATATTATTATAATCTACATTTAGTGTATTTGGCTCAGGTACAAACAAGCTCGTTTAATGCAATAAGCACTAAATACACTTTATATAAGTACACCTGATCCAATTTAGCGTCATTTTAGCATTTAATTTAAATTTATACATATATGTAAGTTATTCTTTGTTTATTAGTTAGAAATCAAAGTTCAATTATATTGTTTAAATATTAACATAGTATTTGCAATCCTTTAGCAGGTTATATATAAACCTCTATACAATATAGACTACTGTATAAATATGTAATAGTTTGTTTAGCTAAAACTTATAACGTATAACAGGCAATTAAATTGAATCATATGATAAACTTTTTAATAAGTTATCAAAAAAAAAGTTTCGACGATTGGATCATCACATGTGGTATTAATAACCACTGAATGCCTTATGAATGTGAATATACTGTGAAACAAGTGTCTCGGAAAAGGCATTGAATTGAATGTATGAAGAATTGAGTGCCAAAAACACCGGAATCGTAACGTTGTGTGCGAGTGACTCCTACTGCAGTGAGAGTGCATTGAATGCAAACATTTGTTTAGATTTTGCGATATTTTATCATTTTATTGACAATTAATTAATAAAACAAATGAAATACAAAATCAATGCATTTGTTGTCTTAAATACAAAGCAATCGACCCTTTATTGTCTTAATTAGTGCCTCAAAATGAATGTTTTGAAGCGATTGTGGATTCATTACATTAATTATCCCATAAATGAGCCGAAAGTAAGTTTTGAAAACTTTTTTCCTCTAAAATTAAACCCAAAAGTAGTGTTGAATTGAATGCAAAAGTGATTGTCATTTAAAATACATTCATGTCTTATGTTTGTGTCATTGATTTGGATGTGTTTGTGGCAACCATTAGGAAAAGAGGCGACAATTGCATGAATTCTTGAGATACTGTTTGGTGAAGAATGAAGACCAGGATCTGTTGGCGGACTGCGAGCCCCGGGAGCTGTCGATAGTGGTGAGCATCGGTAACATATTGATCAACCATCTGAACACTGATGTCCACAATGTGTGCTCACAATTGAGACCATCCGATGACACCTCCAGTGCTGTCTTCGACTACTTGTGCGGAGACATCGGTTCGCAACTGATTCGTGTGATCCGTATATTGAACCGAAAGGACGCTCTCCTCTATAACTGTGAATTGTCTCACCTTTTGGTCCATTCGTTGACTATTTTGTTGAACGATAAACGAGTGGACGATTTGGTTGGAAGTGATGCCAAAGTCAATAGAGTTGACACCCGTTGCCAATCAGTGCATTCAATCAACGACTGCTTCCAGACTTTGAGTTGCATTCAGTTTAAGCCTAACTTAGAGGAAAGCCTTTCGCCCATAAAAGTCAAGTCATTAGTTAAGCCGAAGAGGTCTACAGATCGGTTCCAATCGCCGATCAATTACGACATGTCTGACAGCGACGACTCGGAGGTTAAGTTAACAAACATTCATCTGAATAAGACTTCACTCCTCCACATGTCAGACATGACTACTTTCGACAAAACGTCGGTGTCTTATGATTCAAACGACGACTTCACTGATAGACATGACGTTCAGAAAGAAGTGTTTTGTGTCAAAGAAGAGGATGAGATAATGAAAACCAATTCAATTGAGTTGTTCTCGTGTTGTGTGGATATTCTGACTGAGTTTGCAATGTATGAACAGTTCCTCAAAGAGGATCAACTCTTCAATTTGATTCCTCGTGTTTCCTATTATATCAGCGAAGAGTTGAGTGCATCGATCGTTGATATGTTTAAATTGATTGATGACAACAATTGTCAGACATTATTACCGGTGATGAGTCGAGTGAAGAACCTGTTATTCATCTCTTACTCGACGTTAAGCCGAAGTACTACTGGTCTAAAGTTGTTTGAAAACATAGGTCTTTGCGAGCGTTTGGTGGAAGTGATGGAATATCTATCGACTTTACGTCAAAGTGAGGCCAATCGCCAGATTTGTGATATATTTTGTGGTTTATTACTATTATTCACAAGTATTTGTCAGTACCTTAATTACACTAAGCATTACGTTATTGTCTTAAAGTTGATTAGATTATACACGAGTTCGGGTGCAAACCGTTTGCTCTCATTTATAGTCAAATCGCAAACTAGTCTTATGTCAGATATTGAACCCATTGTCAATGCACTCAAGCAACTGATTATTTCTCTACAAAGAGCTAAACTACTCTACATTCACAGCAACTCTTGCGCCCGAAAGCGGCACTCGAAGTGTGATTTAAGTCCATTCCTCAGTCATCACAACAACGTCTTCGGCACTCAAGTATCGCACAGCACTTCCAATAAGTATCCATTTTGTTGCATATCTTCCGTCTATAATCTGATGCTTTCCATTATAAACGACAATCACTTGGAGTCCATTCAACTGTTTGTCGCCCAAACTCTCTCGTCCGTTATCACCTGTTGTTGTGATTTCAATCATGTTTTGCAAACTTTATTGAAACTCTGTGTCAATACAGAGTCGCCAGTCGTGAGGAAAGAGATCTTCAAGATCATTGAGTATAACATTAAGTCTCAGAGCAAACATAGTCACCAAAATTGCTGCCAATTCTGTGAAAACAGATTTAATAATTTGCAGATTCAGTCCAAATCTGTTCCCGGATTCGCTGATTCCTCGTACAGCGAGGGCTACAGCACTGACAATACCATCGGTGACACGAATCAAACCGAAGAACTTTTCTCCACTCAATACAAGTTATTATTGAATAGTAAAGACATAGCAATAAGACAGTCGGTGTCCAAACATCTCTGGAAACTAATCCATTTCTGCAGCGATGACACAAAACGTATACTTTTTAAATACGTAATAATGCCGTCATTTTTCAGCAAAGACACGCCTCAAGACGTGATGGAACTGTTGCTGCAATTGTTGGGCTCATCAGTGAACGACACGAATGTGGCGAAAATGCTCATCAGTTTCGGGGGTCTCTCCAATTTGAGGCAACTTTTAAGAAACACTGATAACTGTTTGTTGGCTCTGAGTGTACTCCAAGTACTCGTTATCAACGAAACAGAAAATTACTTAAATATCAATCAAAGCGATAATGGTATGAATGGTATGGACGAGAACTATAGCTCGTTATCAATATTTGCGGATATTATTTGCGAAGACACAGATAAATGTGTTTTACAAATAAAGCACTTGTTTGCCGACAATACTATTAATAGTCTCGACTCCAGTCTTGAGTCAATCAATTTGGTTAATGAGGACAACATTGACACTATTAATATTGATTATGAATCGAGTGCACGACACCAGCTTATCCAGCAATTGCAATACGTGTCCAATTTGTGGTCAATTAACTTGAAATTAGTCAATATTTCGCCAAATTATTCACAATTCATCAAAAGCTCATCCAATTGTCTCATTGACTCTATTTATAGCTTTTTCCGCATATCATTGGATTTACTCATCAAACAAATCGTTAAAATCTCAGATTCTTTCCAAAAGTCTGACTCAACAGCAATAGAAGAACTCAACCAATGGATCCAAACACTGATAAATATCATTGAATTATTATTACCCGTTTGTCTACAACTCTGTCCCTTCAAAGTCTCTTCAAATGAATCATTGATCGATAGAAAGGAAATTATGTCTTTAATTAAGCACCAAATCAATGAACTCGAAGACTATCGATATGATAGTGAGAAAAACCCTTTGATGCAAACTTTGAACACTTTAATCAATTGTTCGCTAAACATATCTCACGTCTCGTCCAATATATTCCCGACGTTTACTAAAATCCATAAAAAGTGTGTTTCAAAGGACTCTCTCAATAATTGCGGTAAAGACTCGACCGATGAGGACGAGGACTACTGTGACAGTGGTTACGATGCAGACATAGAAAGCATGGAAACTTCCCATACTTTACTCAATATGATTACTCGACAGAGCAGTCAATCAAAGTCACCGAAAAGTTTACCATTTTTCAAAAACGCCGAATTGTGTCGAATTGTGATCGAATTCTTGAGTTCCCATAAAGACTCGTTTAGTAGTGAAACAAATCTGCAAAACGTCTCAACAATTGTACTAAAACTTGTAAAATATTGCAGAGAAAATCCACAAAATCTTCAGATATTATATGAAAATGGTTTCAATTCATTGCTATTAAACGGTTTCAACGGTCTATTCATAAGCGGTGGTAAGGAGTCGCGAGCTCTTCAGTCGGCGATTTTGGACTTATTTGTGGAGATTTCTCACTACAAAATCAGTTCACATGAATTAAAGCTATTCTTCAACTTATTTAAAGACTCGAGAACTCAGTTAGACTTATGTCTCAACGCTTTGCATCAAATCCTTTCCATCAGAAGTTCTGAACGCATATCAAAGCCATTGTATTCAATGAGTTTTCCCGTCGAACCGATTTTGGTCTCATCTCTACATCCAGAGAATCCTATCATATCTTCATTTGTGGGCCAAATGCGACACTCAATCATATATGACTCGAAGACCAAATCCAATCAAATCAGTTGGAGTACGGCTGCCATCGCTATGCCATTACCGAAACCCGAAGAACTGTTCACCACTTCATGCAAAACATTTTCATTAGCTTTTTGGTTGTTTTTGGATAAGAATATTGTGTTTTCTAAACCAAACCAAAATCTTGAAGACAATAATTTCAATAATCTAAACGAAATGAACATAAGTGTCAATAGGAACCACGAATTCCGGGTTCATTTAACTTCTATAGCATTCGAGTCGTCGACTATTGAAATCTGGTTTGACTTTCATTTCACGCAATTTGTGTACAGAATATGTAAACTAATAAATGGCAAGAATGTGGTCTACGCCGAAGAAGTGCAGACAAATATCGGCGACCTTTTGGGTAAATGGCATCTCTTGCGCTTCAACTTCAAAGAAGTTTATCTCAAGAGATCCTCGTCATCGCTGTCTATATCTCAAAGTATTGACGGGATTAGTGAGCAGTCGATTAAACTGAACTATTCTAATGTGATCCCAAAGAGGTGCCAATCGGTGACAATATTGTTGGGAAGCGTACACAACAGTCCGATTGAGTGGAAATGTGGAAATCTGATGCTTTTCCGGAGCTCTCTATCGCTGGAGTCGACGCTCTACTTATACTGTTTAGGATCTGATTTCTCAAACTTTTCTCATTGCAAACTCAACAACAAAACCCTGTCATTGATAATACCGAAGAGTTTGTCGAACTCTAACTTCATAGACGTTTTGCCGGCATTTCGCGAATTGTCTCAATCGGACAAAAGTCACACATTAGAGGACAATATAATGGTTGTCTACAAACCGATCAAAAGCGACCGATTCCTGGTGTATCCCAAACCGTCGGTCGCCAACAACTCATATTTCCCGAAAATACCGTTTGCCATGACTTCGAAGCGTATTTCATCCAACATCACTCTCTCCAACGCCTCCGATATCACTGAACATAAAGTGCTTGAATTTGGCCGAACGGACGGACAGTTTCATTATGGCGTCCATAAGGCTGTGTCAGACGCCGGAGGGATCGAAGTATTTATGTTTCTTTTCGCTCATATTATCGATACAACAAGTGATGAAAAATTGCAATCAAAAGGACTCGAAATTATGCTCAAAGTATATGATTCTCACGTTCAGCACAGGGATGTGTTCATCAATCAATACGACGGACTGTCCCTCATTGGACTTGTCTTAGAGAACTCGAAAGCAATTATCTCTCAATCAATGCTAAGAAATTTTGTCCAGTTTTCTATCAGTAACTGCGAAAACGATGCTATAATCACATCGAGTGAAAGCATTGCAACCCTAATCAGCTCGTGGAAGGCTTGGCACCGGAATCCCATCACCACTAAAGCTCTCTATCAAACATTATTGTCTCTCATCTCTTATACAAATCCATACAAAAGTTTTAATATCTTTCAAATGAAAAGAGCAAATGTTTTACAATTAATTCTATTCATGACACAAGAAATGTATATTCAATTGAATGATCAAAAGGAACTCCACTTAACAAAAGACTCATTAGTATTAGTGCTTAAAATTCTGAAGATTCTGATGGGAAGACCTCCTGATATCTCGCTATTAAGCGATGTGTTTGACTGTCTTCTACTACTACATAGGGCTGAATCTGCTTTCATAAGTCAATCGAGAAATTCATTTTACTATTTATTTCCGTCCGTTTGGAACATTGATATGGAGTCGGGATCCCAGAGATCCAGTCAATTAGATTTGGAAGCCATTGATGTCGACGAATGGGAGATCATATCGGAAGAAGAGATATCATTAACAGACGAAGTGGTCGACGACTGTCGCGACCAAATCACTGCCGGTTTGATATCATTGATTGGAGAGATGATCGACTCAATGGGTGAGGATATGTTGGTCAAAGTGGTCGGTCCTATCATTAAATTAGAATATCTGACGGTTTTGGCGAACAACAAGTCATTCCGTGTGCGGGAGTCCGTTATGTCTACTCTTTACACGTGTGTTAAGAGATGTAAATCAACCGAAGCTATGAATCAGTTCATCAAAAGTAAAGGATTACACCTATTGGCCAATCAATTGCACAGATTTCCCACATCTTCTAAATTGATGAACATATGTCTGGCCATCATATTAGATGTGAACGATTTGTCTGACTTCTCAATAGAGGAATCGTTTGAGATTAATAGAGGGCCTAATGAATGGCAATCAGAGCTGTTCGTACCATTCTTTGCAGTACTTCCCAAATGTGTTTATGACATCTCTTTGAGTCACAACGCATTGCAAGCTTTCTATCGACTCATGTCTTCATTTAGCACATCGTTTCTCAAAGAGCTCTACGAAAACGGTTTACTCGAGTGTCTGTCAAAAGTCATTATAAGTCATAATAGTTATAAACAGAGGTCTGAATCACAAACCATCGAAATAAACGACGGATACGAAGAAGACTTGGTATACGAAGACGTGAACTATATTTTGCGTGATTTCTCTGCGATGTTCTTCTCCGCTCCGGGAGTTAATAATCACACCATTTATTGCAATGCTTTGCAGTTCTTCGCACTTCTAGAGAGAAAGACTCAGTCGACCAACAAATCTGCGTTTAGGGACAACCAAATAGCACTGTTTGAGTCGGCATTTGATTGCATCCAAAATATCGCTGACGAGACTAAAAGCATTCCTCATAAGAACTCCAGAGGTTTGTAGGGATTAGTGGATTGATGATGAAATGTCATCTAAATGACGGCTTTCTGTTTATTTAGCCGCAAATACAGCCGAACTCTTTCTCAATATGTTTTCACTGCCGGATGAGAACTATGACAGCGGATCCGTTTCACCGAATAACGAGACATTCGACTCGTCTTCGTTCACCAGTTTTGACAATTCGGACAGAATTCGCAACAATTCTAATAAAACACATCTTCATAGCAAAGAAGTGATCGAACGCTTTAAAGACTTGATCCCCAAATCCGTGGACTTTATTCTATTCAAAAGTAATGAAAATATAATTTAATATTTTATTCTCTAATCAATTATTATTTGAATGACTTTTAGGCGAAGATTGTGTGCCCAATGATAAGGAGAAATACTTTTCGCTCAGTATTTTGCATATATTGTGTCAGATTCTAGAAGTGATTCATACGGAGGGCTCGCGAAACAAGAAGAAGACTCTTTGGATTAACATCTTATGGAACTGCAGGGAAACCATTAGAAGTCAAATATCAAGACTTGTCTTATATCTGATATCTCCGCTGCAAACCATAGAAACCAGACTTTTCAGTATTTCATCGATTACTTCCTTAAATTGTTTTCCAAATTTAGTCAAATCTAACGAAGAGTTTGGATATAACTTCAAAGCATTTGTGTTTGATTTGATTGATGTGCTCAGCGATAATGAAAAGCTAAAAGATTTGTATTTATTGCTTAAAGTGATTGACTCTCAGATATCAAACATTGGCGACAAGAACTACAAAGAAATGCTTAGCCATTGGTTCGACAATTTGTCTCAATTCAAGAAGATCTACGAAAAGTCAATTGAGTCGACGAGAGAGCGGACATTCAACCGGATGAAGCAATTGAGTCGCAAAGTGATGGAAACCGCCATTTCTGTCACCCGATCGGTAGTGGAGGCGCAGAACAAAGAGAGAAAGCAATATATTTATCACTTGAAAAGGGATCGAACAAAGAATTTTATGCTTAAGAAGTCGTGGAAATGGATTGTGGATCAGTTAACGCACGAGAAGGCCGTCTGGTATTTCGAGGACTGTTATCCCAACTCGTGGTCTTTGGATCCGATCGAAGGCCCGAATCGTATTCGACGTAAAATGAAGAGATGTTCTCTTGAGATATCCGACCGATTCTTTTCGGATCCCAAAAGTCACCGAAAGTCAAAGCAATTGCTTTCATATATTTTTAGTTCCGATTCGACCGACTCTTCAGTACTAATCGATAGACTTCACGCCAACGAACGCATTATCTATACCTCAAACGCATCGGTCATAACACCGGACGAAGAATTTCCCGGAGAAATACTGATCAGTAACTCATGTATTCATTTCATAAGCGAAACCAAAGAAACGGACGGTTGTATCGGAGAGGACAGCCAAACAAAAGTGTTGCCCTTCGAAGAGATCCAGGAATTGCTTAAAAGGAGATATCAGTTGCAGAACAACGCGTTAGAGATATTCCTGACCAATGGGTTGACGTATTTGATTGCTTTCGAGGCATACGAAAAGCGCGAAGAGTTCTTGAATCAGGTCTTAAGCAAGAATTTGCCGAATGTTTTTGAACCCAAATGTTTGGTCGCATTGACACAAATGTGGAGAGAGAGACAGATCTCGAACTTCGAGTATTTGATTCATTTGAACAAAATTAGCGGAAGAACTTTCAACGATTTGATGCAATACCCCATCTTTCCGGTCATTTTAGCCGACTATGAGAGCCATGTGTTGGACTTAAAGGAGTCCAAGTCGTATAGAAATCTCTCCAAACCTATAGCCATACAACTGAAAAGTCGCGAAAAGTATTATATCGATCAATACAATTACCTGAAGAATGAATACGACAGAAACCAAGACAATGGCGAGTCGATGATGGCGGCCACCACTGCTCCCTTCCATTACGGCGCCCATTACAGCAATAGCGGAACTGTTCTCCACTTCTTGGTTCGTTTGCCGCCATTCACTCAAATGTTTCTCAACTATCAGGACAACAACTTCGACATACCTGACCGCACGTTCCACTCGATGGCCACGTCGTGGAAGTTGGCCACAAGCGAGTCGACCACTGACTTCAAAGAGTTTATACCGGAGTTCTTCTTTTTGCCAGAATTTCTGGTCAATAACGAGAACTTCAATTTCGGTGTCCGTCAGAGTGGACAACCCGTACATAACGTCCAGTTACCCGTTTGGAGCCGATATAACGCTCGACTCTTTGTGCTAATCAATCGACAGGCGCTTGAATCCAATCACGTCTCGCAGAATCTGAACAAATGGATTGATTTAGTGTTTGGATACAAACAAACGGGTAAAGCGGCCGTCGATGCCATTAATGTCTTCCATCCGTCCACTTATTACGGAACAGATGTCTCCAAAATAGAAGACCCGGTAAAGCGAATGGCGATACAGACGATGATTAAAACGTTCGGTCAAATGCCTAAACAACTGTTCCCGAAGTTTCCGCACCAGGAGTTAGCACAAGACGTTCAGTTGCCTCTTGAGAAGGATGTGACGCAAGTGATGGGCGAAGTGGTTGGTCTCAAATGGGGTTCTTATGTGGGCTCACCCGCAGAACCCGAGCCCACAGTTGTGTTGAAGAATAATTACTCCACAAAAATAAGTCATTTGATTGCTCTGTCGACTAACGATGTGTTCGCAATGCCTCCCAATTCTAGTCTATTTGTAACGTATAGCCGCCAAAAAGGAGGTGCGCTTATGAATACCTCTTATATCACTTCAGTGGCTCTGTGTTTGTGGTCTAACCCCGACTCTACCATTAAATTCATGTTAGACTCGTCATCAACGGTACCATTCATTGCAGCTAACGTTCTCTTGGATGAGGTATGACTTGAATCTCATTTTCCTGAATACATGTAATTTACTGTATATTCTGTAATTTAGATAACATTTTGTAAATCAGTTCCTAATTACGATATTCTGCTAATCGGCTATTCTTCTGGAACTATCATCGCATACGCCATCGCACAACCTATTAAGGTATGCATCAAATCAAGTGTTTAATTATAAATTTGTATTCAATTTGTATTGTATTTGCAGTCAAACCAAAAGATTGAACTGAAAAGACCTCAAACAACACTTTACGGCCACTCGAATGCAATCACTTGTATAGCAATCAGCAAATCATTCAGTATTGCAGTGACGGGCGACTCGACCGGCATTTGTATGGTTTGGGATTTGAGTCGCTTTTGTTACGTACGAACACTTTCTGACCATAAGTTTGTCATTGATTTACTGGCCATAAGCGAGACTTTGGGCGATATTATATCAGTGAGTCATCAGAACCATGGAATGGAGTCTCTTTTATGTGTCCACACTATTAATGGAGAACTCGTGGGACAAGTGGTAACCGATACACGTATTACAGCCGTCTGTTATTCGACAGCACCGGAAGGTTTGTCAGTCAACGTAATCGCTACGGCTTTTACCGATGGGACCATCAAATTATGGAGTTCTTGGGATTTGGCGCCCGTTAGACAACTCCAGACTGACATCAATATACCTATAAATTGGTTCGTATTTTACTATTGATTACAAAATAATTTCAAAAATAATCGATTGATTAATGTTTGTTAAACAGTATAACGTATTCCAATGATAACCAACTGTTATATGTGGGCTATTGTGACAATACAGTCGTCGTGTGGGAAAATAGTGGCAATAAAAAGGGTTCCCGTAATCCAAGTCTTACAATATTGTGAACAATTGTTTTTTAATCAAATTATTTTTATTGTAGAAAAAATGTTTTATTTTATATACTATTTATTAATTATGAATATATTCCAGATTAACACTTCCAGAATTTGTGATAAAATTATGTATAAAATTGTTATATTTTTACACAAAAGTAATGAGTTTTAAAATTTTACAAATAAACAAAACCTCACATCAGACTCACACGTGTGCCTCTTCTTGTGCCTCCACTTCCACTAACTGTTGTTCCCGATTCTCATACGCATAGAACCCGTTTATATC